ACCCAGGGATCCCTATTATAGGTTTTTGATTTGTGGTTACCATTAGGTTCATGTGTAACATCTTAGGTATATAGTCGTCTATATTGAGTTGTTAAAATTTGCTAAAATTTTAATTAGATGGTTGCTAAAATTTGAATCCATTTTAAAGAACTAAGTTTTTACTCCCTCCATTCCATTTTATGTATATGATGTCATACTTTACATCATTTTATTTTGTAAATCCCTTAGCTGAATTTTTTTTTTTAATTTTTTTTTTTTTATTTATTTATGACAGTCACAGAGAGAGAAGGAGAGAGAGGCAGAGACATAGGCAGATGGAGAAGCAGGCTCCATGCACCGGGAGCCCGATGTGGGATTCGATCCCGGGTCTCCAGGATCGCGCCCTGGGCCAAAGGCAGGCGCCAAACCGCTGCGCCACCCAGGGATCCCACCTTAGCTGAATTTTATAGATATGATTGATTTTACTACTTTTGTGCTTTAACTTCCAAGTTGGTTTTGTCAGTGATTAATCTACTTTTATTATATGTTTGCATTCACCTGTGAAATTTTCTACTATCATAATTTTCTTACTCCTGATTATGGCCTTTTTCTTTCCAAAGAATTCCCTTTGATGTTTCCTATAAAGCTAGGTTAAGTGGTAATGAACTCCTTTAACTTCTGTTTGTATGAGAGACTATCTCTCCTATTCTGAATGATAACCTTGCTGGGTAGAGTATTCTTGGTTGCAAGTTTTCCTTCCAGAATATGTCATGCCACTCCACTTTGCCCTACAGTGTTTCTGCTGAAAAATCAACAGAATAGCCTTACCGATTATCTCCTGTATATAACTTTTCTTTTCTCTTGCTGCTTTTACAATTCTCTATTATTACCTTTTGCCATTTTCATTACTATGTGTCTTGGTATGCAACTTGTTGGGTTAATTTTATTTTATTTTTTTTTAATTTTTATTTATTTATGATAGTCACACAGAGAGAGAGAGAAAGAGGCAGAGACACAGGCAGAGGGAGAAGCAGGCTCCATGCACCGGGAGCCCGACGTGGGATTCGATCCCGGGTCTCCAGGATCGCGCCCTGGGTCAAAGGCAGGCGCCAAACCACTGCGCCACCCAGGGATCCCTGTTGGGTTAATTTTATTGGGGGCTCTCTGTACTTCCTGGATCTAGATGTCTGTTTCCTTCTCCAAATAGGAAAGTTTTCAGCTATTATTTCTTCAAATAAATGTTCTGTCCTCTTTGCTCTCTCTTCTCCTGGGATCCATATAATGCAAATATTATCATACTTGATGTTGCTAAGTTTTCTTAATCTATCCTCATTTTTAATTATTCTTTTTATTTTTGCTATTCAGCTTGATTTCATTACCCTACCTTCAAGGTTGCTGATACATTCTTCTGCTTCCTTTAATCTGCTATTGATTCCCTCTGGTGTATTTTTTGTTATTGAGTTCTTCATCTCTGATTAGTTCTTTTTAATATTTACTGTTTGTTTTCAGAGTTCTCACTAAGATCATCCACTCTTTTCTCAAGTCCAATGAGTATCTTTATGACCATTACTTTGAATTCTTTACCAGGTACAGCGCTTATCTCTGTTTCGTTTCATTCTTTGGCCATGATTTTGTCCTGTTCTTTCACTTGGGACATTTTCCTGTCTTCTCATTTTATAGAACTCTTTATGTTTGTTTCTATGTATTAGGAAAATCAGTTACAGCTTTTGATCTTGAAAGTAGTGGCCTTATGAAGAAGAGGTTCTGTGGTATCCTGGAGTGCAGAATCCATTGTTTACCAGAACCAGGTGCTTCAGAGATGTTGCTTGTGTGGGTTGCCTATGCTCAGCTGTTGTGGCAGAGCCTCTTTTGCCTTCAGTCATTGGCTGCAGTGGCCCACTTTGTCAGTTCTGGGCAAGGTTTGGTCACTGTGCTGTTAAGGGACCATTGGGGACTTGTAGTTCAGTGGTGTCAGCAATCAGACTAGATGCGTGCTCTCAGCCTATTTTTTGGGTCTGTATTTGCACCAGCTTGCAAGGTATTCTCCCTGCCTTGTCCCTCGAGAGGGGGCAAGTTTCCTTGTTTACTGGTAGACGGGGTTGGCAATCAGACTGCCTGCTCTTAGTCCATCTGCTAGGGCTGATGTTGCACTTTCATCAGCAGGGTATTCTCTGTACTGCTAGCTATAAGGTTTGGTTGCTGGAGCTGTGGGCACACTGGAATGTGTGGTTATCCTTCCCCTCCCCACAAAGCAGGAGTCACTTTGGGGGTGGTACTGGTCCTGACTGGGGCTGCTTGCAAGGTGTGTTGGGGCTGGAGCCCCTTTGGAGTGGGGTAGATTGGATGGGACAGATCCTCAGGAGAATGTGAAGGTGGGACATGCAGGGCTAGCAAGGTAGGTGATGTGTGTTTGCACTGGTTCCCTAAAGCTTCAGCTATCTAGGTGGCAGTTGGGGGTGGGCAGGGAATGGTTCCCACCAGCTCTTGTGTTCTTGGGGAAGTTTTCTAAAGATCCCCGTCCCTCCAGCACACATTCTGAGATTAATAAATAAATGTTCTTTGTGTATACACCAGGCGCTTTTCAAACTGCTGCTTCTGGGACTCCTGGGTGGTTGAGCATCTGCCTTTGGTGCAGGTCGTGACCCTGGGGTCCTGGAATCGAGTCCCACATTGGTCTCCCCAGGGGCAGCCTGCTTCTCCCTCTGCCTATGTCTCTGCCTCTCTCTGTGTGTCTCTCATGAATAGTAAAAACAAACAAACAAACAAAAAAAAAAACAGTTCTTCAAACTGCTGCTTCTATACTGTATCTCAGTAGGTTGTTTGTTATGTTGGCTCTTTAAGGATGGCAACTCAAGTTTCCTTTCATCCTCTGGCTCCTCCAGAACTAAGCCTGCTGATTTTTAAAGTACCCAGAGTAGGGACGCCTGGGTGGCTCAGTGGTTGAGTGGCTGCCTTTAGCCCAGGGCGTGATCTTAGAGTCCTGGGATTGAGTCCTACATCATGCTCTCTGCATGGAGCCTGCTTCTCCCTCTGCCTGTGTCTCTGCCTCTCTCTTTCTCTCTCTGTGTGTGTCTCTTATGAATAAATAAATAAAATCTTTAAAATAAAGTACCCATAGTTAAGCCCCACTGATTGTAAAAACTTGTGAAGTTAAGTCCCACTGGCTTTCAAAACCAAATGTAATGGGATTCATCTTTCCAGTGTGCCTGAAGTGCCTGGTGTAGAGTCTGATTCTCTTGCTTCTTTCTTCTTGTGGTGACCCTCCTTTTGTGGTTATTCTCGCTGAGGGTTTGGTTTCCAGCTGTGTCTCCACCTCTTTTACCCTTTTTGATGTGGCTTCCTCTCTTGATCACCTATGGAAAGTCTGTTCTGCCACTCTCAGGTCGTTTTCATAGTTGCACTGATATGGCTGTTATCTTGGTGTGTCTGTGGAAGGAGGTGAATGCAGGATCCTTCTACTCCAGCATCTTTTCAGAACTCTCCCTATATCTTCTATTTTTTACTGAGATTTTTTTCATTTTCCCATTTGTTTCAAGAGTATTTGTGTTTGCTTATTAGAACATTTGCATAATTATGGTTTTAAAGTCTTTGTCAGGTAATTCAAACATCTGTCATCTCAGTGTTGGCATCTGCTGATTTTCTTTAACATGGTGATGTATTTCAGCAGGTAATCAACCTAGTTAAGGCTCAAGCTTTAAGTTTCTTTTTTTTTAAAGATTTTATTTATTTATTTATTTATTTGAGACACAGAAAGAGAGAGAGAGAGGCAGAGACCTAAGTAGAGGGAGAAGCAGGCTCCATGCAAGGAGCCCAGAGTGTGGGACTCAATCCCAGATTCCAGGATCACGTTTTGAGCGAAAGGCAGATGCTCAACTGTTGAACCACCCAGCCACAACCAACCGTCCCTCAAGCTTCAAGTTTCTACCTGCCTTCTGTGGTTTGTTTTCCCATTGTGACCTATACATGGCCAATTGAGGGCTCAGATGTGCATTTGTTCCCATTTGAAACAAGTAATATGAGGACGATTCTATTTATCAATTTCAGTAGTTTTGAATGAATGGTTATTGTGATAAGCTTTTCCCAGTGGCTCACTTCTGTATTATATACCTTTATTATCAGTGCTTTACCAATTACTTAAAACCTATTCTGTGCTATGGGATTATTATTCAGTGGTGAATGCTATCAGGATTGAGTCTGCTCTTAGGCACATTTAGGAATAAGAAAATACACAATGAGAAATGAGCTAATGAATGAATGAACATATAATTAAAAAATTGTGAAGGTAACGAATGAGACTCTTAAATAAAGGAGAGAGATATAATTAGGTGGGCCTAGCAGGTATAGCTGTTCTGAGAAGACATTTGTTTTGGGCCTTAAAAATGAGAATGTTACAAGCAGCTCAGGCCACAGGATTCTTGTGTGATCAAACAGTCTGACCAAAGCATTAAGATATTAAAGAAAGGTTATATCATGTTCAAAGCACTAAGAGAAGACAGTACGGTAGAGATGGGGTCCAAAGGATGACAGTGGCTGCATAGGTGGTCTTGTTATCCATGGTAAAGGTTTTGGATTTTATTATAAGCATAAGTACAAACCATTCAAAAGAGTTTTAAGTACGGATCCTTGAGCTTTGATCTGCCTTTGAATTAGATGTTAAAAATGCTAGAGATACTAAAAATACAGCATCTTAGTACTTATTCCTAAAAATTCTGATTTTGTGCATCTGAGTTGCTTGAATATCAGTATTTGTAACAAGCCTACCAGAGGATTTTGCTTAACACCTAAATTTCACAAGGTTAATCTCTTCCCCTATAATGAGCATCACCATCTAACATAAACTTTCTTCATTTTTGGAGCTCTTATCCTTTTTCAAATTCTCTGAAAATGTATTACATATACTTCAATATATATGTTATTTTTTTCTATATACCTTTATATTTTTATATGTATATTTCTTTAATGGATTTTGTATATATGTATACAGAAAGGTAAAATGTGTTTGCTTTCTCCTTTTCTTTCAGATTTGGAGTCAAATTATGGAGCTGAGAAGTTATCTCCAGAAAATGATATTTGTGAAATAAATTTACCTAAACAGAGTATAAAGAAAATAAGTAAAACTCTTGGCCTCAAGACCTCCAATTTGAGAAATGACTCAAAATGCAGAAATAGATTTAGGGAACAACAGGAACATCAAGAGGCATATATCAGTCAAAAGATAATAAGCTATGAAAAAATGCATACTTCTCATCGTATGTCTCTTATTCACACTACAAATACACCATATCAATGTAAGGAGTGTGGGAAGTACTTTAGTCGTGGTTCAAATCTCATTCAGCATCAGAGTATTCATACTGGAGAGAAACCCTATGAATGTAAGGAATGTGGGAAGACCTTTAGACTTCTTGTCCAACTTACTCGACATCAGAAATTTCATACTGGTGAGAAACCCTTTAAGTGTAAGGAATGTGGGAAAGCTTTTAGTCTTCCCACCCAGCTCAATCGCCATGAGAATATTCATACAGGTGAGAGACCATTTGAGTGTAAGGAATGTGGGAAGTCCTTTAATCGTAGCTCAAACCTTGTTCAACATCAGAGTATTCATACAGGTGCAAAGCCATATGGATGTAAAGAATGTGGGAAAGGCTTTAATCGTGGCTCAAATCTTGTTCAGCATCAGAAAATCCATTCTAGTGAGAAACCCTTTGAATGTAAGGAATGTGGGAAGACCTTTAAATATCATTACCAATTTATTGAACATTGTCGAATTCATACTGGTGAGAAACCCTTTGAATGTAAGGAATGTGGGAAGGCATTTAGTCTTCTGATACAGCTTGCACGACATCAGAACATTCATACTGGTGAGAAGCCATTTAAATGTAAAGAATGTGGCAAGGCCTTCAGTCGTGGCTCAAATCTTGTTCAACATCAGAGTATTCATACTGGTGAGAAACCCTATGGTTGCAAGGAATGTGGAAAGGCTTTTAGACTTTACCTACAACTTTCTCGACATCAGAAAACTCATACTGGCAAGAAACCTTTTGAATGTAAGGAATGTGGGACAGCCTTCCAGTATCAGTACCAACTTGTTGAGCATCAGCGAATTCATACAGGTGTGAAACCCTATGAATGTAAGGAATGTGGGAAGTTGTTTCGTCGTGGTTCAAATCTTATTCAACATCGGAGTGTTCATACTGGAAAGAAACCTTTTGAATGTAAGGAATGTGGGAAGGCCTTTAGACTCCATATACAACTTATTCGACATCAGAAATTTCATACTGGTGAGAAGCCCTTTGAATGTAAGAAATGTGGGAAAGCCTTTAGTATTCTCACCCAGCTTAATCGCCACGAGAATATTCATACAGGTGAGAGACCATTTGAATGTAAAGAATGCGGGAAGTCCTTTAATCGTGTCTCAAACCTTGCTCAACATCAGAGTATTCATGCTGGCATGAAACCATATGAATGTAAAGAGTGTGGGAAAGGCTTTAATCGTGGCTCAAATCTTGTTCAGCATCAGAAAATCCATTCTAGTGAGAAACCCTTTGAATGTAAGGAATGTGGGAAGACCTTTAGGTATCATTACCGACTTACTGAACATCATAGAATGCATACTGGAGAGAAACCCTTCGAATGTAAGGAATGTGGAAAGGCCTTTACTCTTCTGACACAGCTTACTCGACATCAGAACATTCATACTGGTGAGAAACCATTTAAATGTAAGGAATGTGGCAAGGCCTTCAATCGTAGCTCAAATCTTGTTCAACATCAGAGTATTCATACTGGTGAGAAACCCTATGGTTGCAAGGAATGTGGAAAGGCTTTTAGACTTCACCTACAACTTTCTCGACATCAGAAAACTCATACTGGCGAGAAACCTTTTGAATGTAAGGAATGTGGGACAGCCTTCGGACATCAGTACCAACTTGTTGAACATCAGCGAATTCATACAGGTGTGAAACCCTATGAATGTAAGGAATGTGGAAAGAGCTTTAATCGTGGGACAGACCTTAGAGTACATCAGAGAATTCACACTGGTGAGAAACCCTTTGAATGTAAGGAATGTGGGAAGTCCTTTAGACATCACTATCAATTTCTTGGACATTACAGAATTCATACTGGTGAGAACCCCTATGAATGTAAGGAGTGTGGGAAATGCTTTACTTGTGGTAGTGAACTTAGAGTACATCAGAGAATTCATACTGGTGAGAAACCATATCAATGCAAGGAGTGTGGGAAGGCCTTTAGTCGTAGCTCAAACCTTATTCAACATGTTAAAATTCATACTGGTGAGAAGCCTTATGAATGTAAGGAATGTGAAAAGGCCTTTAGCAATAATTATGAACTTACTGTACATCAGAGAATTCATACTGGTGAGAAACCTTATGAATGTAAGGAATGTGGGAAAACTTTTAGACTTAGTTCAGTTTTTACTGCCCATCAGAGAATTCATACAGGTATGAAACCCTATGAATGTAAAGAATGTGGAAAGACCTTTAGTTGTAGCTCAAACCTTATTCAACATGAGAGGATTCATACTGGTGAGAAACCTTATGAATGTAAGGAATGTGGGAAGGCCTTTAGACTTAGGTCAGTTTTTATTGCCCATCAAAGAATTCATACAGGTCTGAAGCCCTATGAATGTAAAGAATGTGGGAAAGCCTTTACTGTGAATGGTCAGCTTACTCGACATCAGAAAATTCATACTCACCAGAAGTCCTATGAATGTAAGGAATGTGGGCAAACCTTCACTGGATATGAACAGCTTACTCAACATCAGAAAGTTCATAGTGGCAAGAAATCCTATGACTATAAAAAAAGGTGGGAAGACCTTTCATCATGGACTCAGATTTGCTCAACAGCACAGTATTCCTACTGGTGAGAAACTGAATAGAAGTAACATGAAAAGATTTACAGTCACAGCAAACACCTTAGTGTTGAGAGGACATTCTGGTGAGAAAGTCTCTGAATGTAAAGAAATATGGGGTAGCCTTCATGTTCACAATTATGAAAGATTTTGCTAGGTATGTTAATTTCACATACTTAGAAAAGCCTTCAAACCCCAACTGGAGGAAAATTGTTGGAACAAATGTAAGTTAATGTCTACCTGAGGCAGATGCTTTATCACCATTGCCATTTCATTACCTGTGTGACATTAGATGCCTACCTCTGTGCATCATTTGTAAATGGCAACAATTTAAGTACAAACTAGTGCAATTACAGGAATAAATGTGTTCTAGTACATGGAAAATCCTTAAAAGAGTATTTGGCACTTGTGCTCATAAAGAACAGCTTTTTTTTTTTAAAGATTTTATTTATTCATGAGAGACAGAGAGAGAGAGGCAGAGACACGAGCAGAGGGAGAAGCAGGCTCCATACAGGGAGCCCGACGCGAGACTTGATCCCAGGACTCCAGGACCACACCTTGGGCCAAAGGCAGGCGCCAAACTGCTGAGCCACCTAGGGATCACCTAAAGAACAGCTTTTATGTTTCATTAATGTTGTTCGGAAAATAGTATTATTGTGAATAATTTAGAAAAACCTCATCCATTCCTTCATTATTAAATTTTAAATAACTTGTATAAACTTTCATGGGAAGTAAAGAATATGAGAGGATTTTCATTAAGAGTTCATTCCTTAAGTTACACCAAAAAGTTAATTTTGGAAAGAAACCCTATGGGTTTAGTGAGTGAGGAGATGTCGAAAAAACAGCTGGTGAAGAATCAGGGAGAGTTTTTGAAGTGATAATATCAGCAGGCAGAAAATGTAGAATTTATTTCTCTGTCCAGAAGTTAAGATCAATATTAATGAAAGAATAGCAAAATAATAGCATCCATTTATGTACTCAATTTCATCATGAAAATTGCTACACATATGAAAAGTTGAAAGAATGAACACCAGTATACCCATATGTAGATTCAAAGTACTTAACAGTTTGACGTATTTATTTTTCTGTATATTCTATGTTGTACCATTGAGAATAGGCTTTAGACATCATGATGCTTTGACCTTTATTACATCAGTATGTATCCTCCAAACATAGACAATGTCACATATAGCCGTGGTACCATAATTGCTTTTAAGGAAATTCTCCATAATTCATAATATCTTACCAAGTTTCTTCATTGGCTTCTAAATTGCCATTTACAGGAGTTCATCTTCTAAGTAGAATGCATTCCAGATTCTGTACTGCATTTGGTTGTTAGCTCTCTTTATTCTTTTTTAGTCTAGAACAGTGACTCATTTTCTTGGGTATCAGAATCATCTGTGGATCTTGGTAAAAATACAAAGATCCAGACCCACTAAGTCTCCATCTTTACTAGCTCTCGGGGGATTTTAGTGTGTACTATAATGAGCCACTGGTCTAGTACAATTCTCCTTTTACAAAAAATGTTGACTTTTGAGAAGTCCAGGAAAATTAATTGTCTCTCAGGTGTTTAGATTAATCTTTTAAATCATGTAAAAAGCAAGAAGTACAACTACAAACCATTGTTTACTAGTTTGTCTAATTGCTCCTGTATTTACTTTTTTGAGATTTCTATTTCTCTATCTGGTTTGTGTTACCATCTGTTATCTTCATTTCACCTTGCAAGACTCCCTTGAACATTTTTTTGCAGGGTAGATTTAGTGAGCACCAACTCCTTTGGCTTTTGTTGATCTGGTAATGTCTTAATTTCTCTGTCCATGTTCAAGGACAGTTTTGCTGGATATAGGATTTTTGGTTGAAAGCTTTTTTTTTTTCCTTTGCCATTTTGCATATATTGATCCACTGTCTTCTGGCCTCCGAGATTTCTGATGGGAAATCTGATAATCTTATTGAATATTCATTGTATGTAGTAAAGATTTACTTCTCTCCTGTCATCTTCAAGATTGTCTTATGAAAGTTTGTAATGTGTCTTGTGGATCTCTTTTTATCAATTATTTTTTTAAAAAATTATTTATTCATGAGAGACAGAGAGAGGCAGGCTCCATGCAGGGAGGCCAATGCAGGACTCGATCCCAGGACTCTAGGATCATGCCCTGGGCCGAAGGCAGACACTAAACCACTCAGCCTCCAAGGGATCTCTATCAATTTTTTTTAATTGAAGTATAGTTGGCGTAGGTATGGATCTTTTTTATTTCATTTTGTATGGATTTTGTTGTGCTTCGTGGATGTGTATGTCTTTAATCGAATGTGGGAAGTTTTCAGCATTATTTCATCAAATAATTCTTGAAATTTTTTTCTGCCATTCCTCCTGCCCCTTTCTCTTTCTTGGACTCCCATGATGCATATATTAGTCCCCATGATGGTATCCCAGAGGTCCTTTAAGCTATTTGCTTTTCCTTAATATTTTTCTTTGTGTTCCTCATACTCAGTAATTTTCATTGTTCTATATTCAGGTTCTCTGAGGCTTTCTTTTGCTTGCTCAAGTCTGCTTTTGGCTCCCTCTAGTGATGTTTTCATTTCAGTACTTTTCAGCTCCAGAATTTCTTTCTTCTTTTTTAGATTTTATTTATTTATTTATTTATTTATTTATTTATTTATTTATTTATTTATTTATTTTTTAGATTTTCATTTCTTTATTGATACACATTATTTTCCTGACTTTCTCCACATTTTTCTTTAGTTCTCTGAGAAATTTTTTAAAAAGATTTTATTTATTCATGAGAGACACAGATAGAGAGGCAGAGACACAGGGAGAGGGAGAAACAGGCTCACCGCAGGGAGCCCAATGCGGGACCTGATGCCAGAATTCTGGGATCATGCCCTGAGCCAGAGGCAGACACTCACCCACTGAGCCACCCAGGTGTCCCTCTGAGCATTTTTTAAAATTTTTATTTATTTATTTATGATAGTCACAGAGAGAGAAAGAGGCAGAGACACAGGCAGAGGGAGAAGCAGGCTCCATGCACCAGGAGCCCGATGTGGGATTCGATCCCGGGTCTCCAGGATCATGCCCTGGGCCAAAGGCAGGTGCCAAACCGCTGCGCCACCCAGGGATCCCCCCTCTGAGCATTTTTAAGGCAGTTGTTTTAAAGTCTTTGTCTACTATATCTGCCATCAGTTCTTTTTTTAGGAACAGTTTCTGTTGATAAATTTGTATTTTCTTTAAATGCTCCACACTTTCCTATTTCTTTGTATGCCTTTTGATTTTGATGTTGTAAACAAGTAAGGAGATGGGGCAGAGGGAGAATCAGGCCCCCCACTGAGCAGGAAGCCCAATGTGGGACTCAATCCCAAACTGTAAGATCAGGACTTGAGCCAAAGGAAGATGCTTAACTAAGCCACCAAGGTACCCCAGGGATTTTAAATTTTATTTTCCAGCTTTACTTTTTTTTTTTTTAAAGATTTTATTTATTTGAGAGAGAGTGAGCACAAACAGGGAGCAGCAGAGGGAGAAGCAAGCTCCCTGCTGAGCAGGGAGCCTGATGTGGGGCTTGATCCCAGGACCCCAGGATCACAACCTGAGCCAAAGGCAGATGCTTTAACTAACTGAGCCACCCAAGTGGCCCATCCAGCTTTACTTTTTTTACTTGGGAATGAGTCTGCAGAGATAACTTTTTGTTCTATAATATAGAAGTGGAAACTAAGGCCTTAAGTCAGAAAAGATATAAGATCTATAAGCTTCACACATCCTTGGCACAGAGATGGCCTACAATACTCAAACAAAATTAAAACCAAAAACCAAAACTAGGGATCCCTGGGTGGCTCAGTGGTTTGGTGCCTGCCTTTGGCCCAGGGCACGATCCTGGAGTCCCTGGATCGAGTCCTGCGTCGGGCTCCCGGCATGGAGCCTGCTTCTCCCTCTGCCTGTGTCTCTGCCTCTCTCTCTCTCTCTCTCTCTCTCTCTCTCTCTGTCTATCATGAATAAATAAATAAAATCTAGAAAAAAACCAAACAAACAAAAACCAAAACTAAACAACCAACCTCCAAAAAAACCCCAGCAAACTCTGGGGAAGAGAGAGAATCTGATTTCCAGGGTTACCACATCTATTAGATCCAAATGGCGTCCCTACCATCATTTTTTAAAAATTTATTTATTTATGATAGACACACAATCCTGAGACTCCAGGATTGCACCCTGGGCCAAAGGCAGGTGCCAAACTGCTGAGCCACCCAGGGATCCCCCTTACCATCATTTTTGAAAGATAACTTTACTGGTTATAAGATTGGTTGGTGGGTTTTTTTCTTTTTAGCAATTTGAATGTTATCCCACTGCCTTCTGGTCTCTATTGTTTCTGATGAGAAGTATGCTGTTAATCTTATTGAGGTACCCTGTGGGTGATACATTGTTTTCCTCTTGCTGCTTTCAAGATATTCTCCTTGTCTTTGACTTCCAGCATTTTTTACCACGATGTATCTGTGAGTGCCTGCACACATCCTGCTGGGAGTTTGTTGAGCTTCTGGTAGGTATAGATTAATGTTTATCAAAATATTGGAGATGGTTTGGGGCACCTAGGTGGCTCAGTTGGTTAAGCATCTGGCTGTTGGTTTAGGTTCAGGTCATGGTCTTGGGGTCCAGAGTTCAAGCCCGGTGTTGGGCTCCATGCTCAGTGTGCAGTCTGTCTCTATTCTCTGTTTCTCTCATAAATAAATAAAATCCTTTTTAAAATTGGGAATGGGGGACGCCTGGGTATCTTAGCAGTTGGGTGTCTGCCTTTGGCTTGGGGCGTAATCCCAGGGTCCCAGGATCAAGTTCCACATTGGGCTTCCTGCAGGGAGCCTGCTTTTCCCTCTGCCTATGTCTCTGCCCCTCTCTCTGTGTCTCTCATGAATAAATAAATAAAATCTTTTTTAAAAATTGAGGATGGTTTTAGCTATTATTTCTTTAAATATTTTTCCTCATTTTTTTCTTTAAGATTTTATTTATCTACTCATGAGAGACAGAGAGAGTCAGAGACAGGTAGAGGAAGAAATAGGCTCCCTGCAGGGAGCCTGATGTAAGACTTGATCCTGGGACCCTGGGATCACGCCCTGAGCCAAAGGCAGACGATCAACCACTGAGCCACCCAGGTGTCCCTCTCATGAATTTTTTAATACTAGTTACACTATTCTTCAACTCTAGAATTGCCATTTGGTCCTTTTTATTACATGTATCTCTTTATTAATATTCTCTACTTGATAAAATATTGTCTTCATACTTTCCTTTATTCTTGTCCCTTTTTCTTACTGAAAACTGGATATATTAGGTAACATATTGTAGCAATTCTGAATATCAATGCCTCCTCCCACCCCCAGACTTGCTTTTGTTGTTGTTGTTGTTTGCTTATTTGTGTTGTGTTTTAACTAGGCTATTTTACTGAAATCCACTTCCCCTTGCAGTGTGAAGCATTTAGTATTATGCTTGTGTGTGTTCTCAGTCACCTGGGATGACAGGAGTCACTGACTATCTTTTTACCTGATTTCTCTGTGAAGCAATCCGCCTCATTTGATATTATTTCCAGCTCATTATGCTCCACTGATTTCCTGCTGATTGCTCTGCTGTTTTCAACAATTTCTTGGAGGCATAAATTTCTTAGTAGTCTGATCCAATTTAATTCAGGAAGGGCTAGTTTTTAAGGTCAACCTTTGAGGGGTGTTTTAATCTCAGGATTTGTAGCATATATAGACATTCATATCTACATATACTAAACACAGAAAGAGGGAGGGTGGAATGGAACTATATAGGAGTAACATTTATATAAGTCACTGGAATTAAGTTGCTATAACTCTGAAGTCAATTCTACATTAGGATGTATGTATATGGTAGGGACGCCTGGGTGGATCAGTTGGTTAAGCATCTGCCTTCAGCTCAGGTTATGATCTTAGGGTCCTGGGATCAAGCCCTGCATCAGGCTTTCTGCTCAGCAGGGAGTCTGCTTCTCCCTCTCCCTCTGCTCCTCTCCTCTGCTCTTGCTTTCTTTCTCTCTCAAATAAATAAAAATTTTAAAAAATCTTTTAAAAGATGTATATAGTATGTTTTAGAGAATCTATTTAAAAATAATTTTTAAATACAGTGAATGATTGCTCACTTTGGCAATACATATTCTAAAATTGGAACAATACAGAGAAGATTAGCACGGCTCCTGTGCAAGGACCACACACAAAATTCATGAAGCATTCCACATTTTTTTAACTATAGAGAACAAAGAGTTTCTGGAGGGAAGGTAGATGCAGGGCTAGGTTAAATAAGTGATGGGTTAATAGGGCATTTGTGATGAGCCCTAGGAGTTGTATGTAAGTGATGAATCCTTTTTTTTTTTAAGATTTTATTTATTTATTCATGAGAGATAGAGAGGCAGAGACACAGGCAAGAGGGAGAAGCAGGCCCCATGCAGGGAGCCTGATGCGGGACTCGATCTTGGGACTCCAGGATCACGCCCTGGGCCAAAGGCAGGTGCTAAACGGCTGAACCACTCAGGGATCCCTGAATCGCTCAATTCTACACCTGAAACTAATATTACACTTTATGTTAACTGGAATTTAAATACAAAACTTGAAAAAAAAATGTAGTGAGTGAGTGAGGAGAGAATCAAAATGTGCCACGGTGAAAAATCAACTAAACACAAAGGAAAGCAATAATGGAGAAAATGAGGGACAATAAAACTACAAGATAAAGGAAACAACAAAATGTCAAAAGTAAGTCATTATCAATAATCGCTTTAAATGCAAGGTGATTAAACTCAACCAAAAGATGTAAATTGGCAGAATGTATATAAAACAGAATCCAACTGTGTACTGTCTACAAGACATTCACTTAAGATCCAAGAAACACACACACACAAATCCAAGAAGCATAAGTTGAAAATGAAATGATTAAGAAAAATATTGCAAATACCAAGATAGAGCAGGAAGGGCTATACTAATACACAAAATAAGCTAAATAAAAAACTGCTACAAGGGACCCCTGGGTGGCGCAGGGGTTTAGCGCCTGCCTTTGGCCCAGGGCGCGATCCCGGGATCGAGTCCCACGTTGGGCTCCTGGTGCATGGAGCCTGCTTCTCCCTCTGCCTGTGTTTCTGCCTCTCTCTCTCTCTCTTTCTGTGTGACTATCATAAATAAATAAAAAAAAACTGCTACAAGAGACAAAGAAGGACATTATATAATACAATGATAATGAGGTCAATATAGCAAGAAGATATATCAATTACAAACGTGGCAAACATCTGGGCAGCCCGGGTGGCTCAGTGGTTTAGCGCCGCCTTCAGCCCAGGGTGTGATCCTGGAGACCTGGGATTGAGTCCCACATTGGGCCCCCTGCATGGAGCCTGCTTCTCCCTCTTCTTGTGTCTCTGCCTCTCTCTCTCTCTCTCTCTCCCCCTTGTGTCTCTCATGAATAAATAAATAAAATCTTTTAAAAAAAAAGGTAGCAAACATCAGAGCTCTGAAATATATGAAGCAAATGTTGACAGAATTGAATGGAGAGACTTCAGTACCCTACTTTTTTTTTTTAATTTTATTTATCCATGAGAGACACAGAGAGAGGCAGAGACACAAGCAGGGAGCCCGATGTGGGACTCGATCCTGGGTCTCCAGGATCACGCCCTGGGCTGAAGGCAGCGTCAAACTGCTGAGCCACCTGGGCTGCCCAGTACTCTACTTTCAATAATATATAGAACAAACAGGCCATCAATAGGAAAATAGAGGACTTGAGAAATACTGTAGGTAATTGGACCTGACAGATATACAGAACATTCCACCCAACAATAGAAATTTTTTATCAAGTGCACATGGAATATTCTTCAGGATAAACCATATGTTGAGCCACACAACAAGTATTAATAAATTTTAAAATATTGAAACTAGAATTCGGTAGCACAAAGAAAACAAATCAAATATCTGGAAATTAATCAATACCCTCTTAACTAATGAGTTAAGAAATCACAAGAGAAATTAGAAAATATCTTGAGACCAATGAAAACAAAAACACAAACTACCAAAATTTGTGAGATGCAACAGAAGCAGTACTGAAAGGAAAATTTATAGGAGTAAATGTCTATATTAAAAAGATTTCAGGGGATCCCTGAGTGGCTCAGCGGTTTAGCCTCTGCCTTCGACCCAGCGCATTATCCTGGAGTCCTGGGATCGAATCCTGCATCAGGCTCCCTGCATGGAGCCTGCTTCTCCCTCTGCTTGTGTCTCTGCCTCTCTGTGTGTGTGTGTCTTTCATGAATAAATAAATTAAATCTTAACAAAATAAAAATAAATAAAATGATTTCAAATCAACTGAACATTACACCTAAGGAACTAGAAGAGAAAAACTAAACCTGTAGGTACTAGAAGGAAAGAACTAATAAAGATCAGAGTAGAGAAAATAGAGGATAGAAAAATAGTAGGGACAATTACTGAAATAGAAGAGGAAATTAATGAAACCAAGAGTTGTTTCTCCAAAAAAATCAACACATTGATAAATCATTAGCTAGGCAGACTAAAAGGAGAGAAGACTCAAATAACTACACTAGAAATGAAAGAGATGGAGGTTTCCCAAAATGTTAAAAATAGAACTACCCATCCAGCAATTGCACTACTAGATATTTACCCAAAGGATACAAAAATACAGATTCAAAAGGATACATGCACCCCAATGTTTATAGCAGCAGCATCAATAGCCAAACTATGGAGAGAGCCCAAATGCCCATTGACTGATGAATGGACAAAGAAGATACGGTATATATGTACAATGGAATAATTACTCAGCCATCAAAAAGAATGAAATCTTGTAACTACGTGGATACAGCTAGATGTATTATGCATAGTGAAATAAGTCAGTCAGAGAAGGACAAATACCGTATGATCTCACTCATGTGGAACTTAAGAAAGAAAACAGATGAATAAATAGGAGAGGGGAAAAGGAAAAAAAAAAGGAGAGAGGGAAACAAGCCACAAGAGACTTTTAATGACAGAGAACAAATTGAGGGTTGATGAAGGGAGGTAAATGGGGGATAGGCTAGATGGATGATGGGTATTAGGGAGGGCACTTGTTATGATGAGCCCTGGGTGTTGATTATAAGTTATGAATCACTGAATTGTATTCCAGAAACCAATATTGCACTGTATGTTAGCTACCTAAAATTTAAATTAAAAAAATAAATGAAAGAAGTGATAATATCAATTTTACAAGAGAGTATTATGAACAATTTTGTGCCAGCAAACTGGATAGTCTAGATAAAATGGACAAATTCCTAGAAACACAACCTACGAAGACTGAGTCATGAAGAAATAGAAAATCTAAAAATACTTAAGAAAGGAGATTGAATCAGCAATCCAGTACCTTCCAACAAAGAAAAGCTTAGGGTCAAACAGCCTCACTGGTGAATTTTTCCAAATGATTTTAGATCTTAATTCTTTTTTGGTATCATAGGCTTGTATGTAAAATTACAAATTTCCCACTAAAAACATCTTTTAACATTGTCTCTCTTTCTACCGCTTGTTGCATTTCTCCCAAGGTACCTGGAAAGAGTCCCAGGGCCAGCCACAGTGTTATTGCTCCAGCAGTAACAGCTTGATTCTCATCTCCCTGGTCCCTTCTGATCTGAACCCAGGTGTCTGACTCATCTGCCTTCCATATTTTTCTTTCTTGCTGTTTTTTGTTTTGTTTTGTTTTGTAAAAAAGAAAATGAAGGAGAACATCCAAGCAAGTGAGAATAATATATAACTCTCTCAATTTTTGTAAGTTTGTAATGACACTTTATGTGATTACCATCTCTTGCTGTGAAGAACAAACCCCAGGCTCTACACTAAAATTACCCTGTAGCTGCCGCATCCACCCAACCACCCAAAGAACTTCTGTTCTTTCCTCCTAGGCACAAGGGCAGAGAACTGCATTGGCCTGGGGTAGCCCTGCAGACCCATGACTCTGGAAGGCTGCAGACACTGCCTTCCCTCATCATTAGCTGGCCCTTCGGTTCTCTGAGCAGAAGACTTAACTGTGAACAAGCAGACCAATAAAACTAGAATTTGTACTGTCAAAAAAATAATAAAACTTGTAAATGAATCTTTATGACAGTATTATCCACAATAGCCAAAACGTGGAAACAACTTACTGTCCATCAACAGGTGGATAAACAAAATGTGGCTGTTGTGAGACGAATTTGTCTCCCCAAAATTTATATATTGAAGTCTTAGCACCTAGTACTTCAGAATGTGATGGTATTTGGAGATAGGGTATTCAAAGAGGTAATTAAAATCTAGTGAGGTCATGAAGGTAGGCCCTAATTCAATGATTAGTGTCTTTATAAAAAAGAGATTAGGACACAGGCTTGTCCATACAGAAGGAAGACCATGTGAAGAGAAAGGGAGAAGATGGCCAAGAGAAGAAACAACTCTACTGACACATTTATGTTGAACATTTAGCCTGGACAACTATGAGAAAATACATTTCTGTTGTTTAAGCCACCACTCTGTGGTACTTTGTCATGGCAGTCCTCACAAACAAATATAGTGGAATATCCACACAAGGAGTTATCATGCAGCCATAAAAGGAATGAAGTAGTGATATACACTATAACTGGGATGAACCTTGAAAAACATTATGCTAGGTGAAAAGAATATAACCTAGTCACAAGAGACCACATGTTATATGATCACATTCAGATGAAATTCCAGAATAGAGAAATCCAGAGACAGAAAGTAGACTAATGGTTGCTTATGGCTTCAAGGACTAGGGATGGGGTGGGGAGCAGGGGTTGTCTTTTTATTATTGAGTTGTGGTTATGTGTAAAATTGCTATAAACATTTCCAAACAAGTTTTCTGTAGGTATATATTTCTAATTCTCTTGCATAAATACCCAGGAGTAAAACTACTAGATCATAGTGTAGATCCATGTTTAATTTTTATAAGAAATGCCAAATCGCTGTACAAGTTGTACAGTTTATACTCTTATAAGCAATACATGACAGTAGCAGTTTCTCTACAGTCTTGTTAACATTTGACGTTGCCTATCTTTTACATAGTAGACACGTTGTACTTGCTGTTGTGATTGCTTTGTGTTTTTCTTGGTGACTTGAGGACTCATCATAATATAGTTTTTACAAATCTTGTATTATCTCCAAATGTTTTTAGACCCTGGCTAGAAGCCAATCAGTTGCTCTTCTTGAGCTGCTGGTTAAGCACACACCCTAACTAACTCTCTCATTGGGCATTCACATTCCAAGACACTTGCCCTAATTGCCCCAGGACCAGGTACCAGACAACCAGGGACAGCCCCTCTTCCCCAGAGCCTGCTGAAATTATTCAAAGTAGCAGTCCTAAGCCTGCCTATCTTGCCTCCTTCATTCCTTTCCACAGAAACAACAATAAAGATGATTGCCCACGGTTTTCTTCTCTCCCACAGCCTTGTGTATGACCCTGGCACTTCTCCAGAGTGACCCTATATGGCATGCTGTGTTCCTCCCTGGGAACTGTAAGTATAATAAACTGTAAAACTCTTTGTCCTCTGGATCTGCATCACCATACCTCACATTACTTTTAACCAAGTAATGTGGTTAAAACACTCATGCTGTGGACTGTGGACTCTTTTATTTGTTTGTTTCTGTGGTGCTAATTGGACATTTGTATATCTTTTGTGAAGTCTCTGTTTTCATCTTTCACCCATTTTTTTGTTGTTTTTTACTTTCATCCTATTAAGTTGTATTTCTTTAGATATGCTAGATAAAAGCCCTTTTTTGGATATGTTTCATGAATACTTAATGCCAGTCCCTAACTTCATTTTCATTGTCCTGATGGTATCTTTTGATGGGAATTTTTTAGTTTTATTGAAGTTCAATTTATATGTTTTTTAAAGATTTTATTTATTTGACAGAGAGAGAGCACAAGCAGGTGAAGCAGCAGGCAAAGGGAGAGAGAGAGGCAGACTCCCTGCTGAGCAGGGAGCCCAATGGGGAGCTTGATCCCAGGACCCCAGTATCATGACCCAAGCTGAAGGCAGACGCTTAACTGACTGGGCCACTGAGGCGCCCCTTAACCAGTTTTTCTAAGGGTAAGGCTTTTTGGGTACTCCAAGGTCATGATGATATTCCACCATATTTCATTCTTGAAACTTTATAGTTGTTTATATCTATGATCCACCTTGATGTAATTTGGGGGTATGGTGTTAAATATAGGGTAAGATTAATTTTCCCAAGTTTATCCAGTTGTTCCAGCACCCTTTTTTGAAAGAACTCTCCTTTCCCACATTGAACTGCCTTAAAGATTTTAGGACAATGAAATGACTGTACAAGTGTAAGTCTAGTTCTCAATCCTCTGTTTTATTCCACTTGTCAATTTATTATTATAGCAACACCGCATTGACTTGATGATTCTAGCTTCACAGTAAATCTTGAGTTCAGGTAGTGTAAACCACCACTACCCCCCTTGTTCTTCTTTTAAAATACCTTGAAGTGTTCTAAGTCCTTTGCATTTTCACATATTTATAATCAACTGAGCAATTTCTGCAGAAGTGCCTGTTGGGATTTTGTTTTGTTGTAAAGATTTTATTTATTTATTCATGAGTGACACCGAGAGAGGTAGAGATAGGCAGAGGGAGAAGCACGATCCCGGCCGGGAGCCTGATGCGGGACCCGACTCCAGGACCCCTGGATCACGACCTGAGCCAAAGGCAGACACTCAAGCGCTGAGCCACCCAGGTGTCCCCATCACAGCTGTTTTCCAATGTAGTCAGGCCTTATCTCAGGGAAAGTGTGGTCCTTCATTCCTCAAGGGCAATGTTCTGCAAATCCCCAAGAGAGTAGGTTAGTTCTGCTACAGATCAAGGGACTTAGGTCAACAAGCAAGGAGTGCACACGCTTAAAGCGAGTTGACCCTTCAGTCCGGTTGGGGTGCTGTTGCACTATTCTAATTCCCCTGTCCAAATAGCTTTTAAAGGCTCCATTATGCAAACGACATCTTGCAGGGCAGATTTATAGTAGTAGAAACAAGTCACCTCCAGCCAGAGAGAGCAATGAGTTCCGCAGCCCTGGCAGACAGACTGCCGCTGGCACATGCGCTCACAAGGCCAGGTATGCAGGGCCACGCGCCCCATTCTATAAAATACACCCAGATAATCCTGCTGGGACTGGCTAATGAGAAGAGTCAGCCGAGGGTCGCCTGGGTGGCTCAGTGGTAGAGCCTCTGCCTTTGGTCCAGGTCGTAGGCCGGAGTCCCGCATCAGGCTCCCCGCAGGGAGCCTGCTTCTCCCTCTGCCTAGGTCTCTGCCTCTCTCTGTGTGTCTCTCCTGAATAAATAAATAAAATCTTTAAAGAGAAGAGGAGACAGCCGAGAGTCCACACGCTGGAGGGCCCAGCGCCTGGATGAGCGGCGAGGCTCCCGCCGAGCAGCCAGCCGCAGGGTGCGTGCGAGCTAGGCTCTGCCGAAAGCGAGGTCGCGGACCCGGCTGCAGCCCCCCGCCCCCCGGTCTTGCGCCTGCGCCTTCGGAGCCCCCGCGCGCCCCCCGCAGAGCGCGTCTTCCACCAGCCGGGTGCGAGTGGTGGTCGCGGGGACTCCCTGGCGGCGGGGGGTGTATTGGGGTGGCTCACCCCCCCCCCCCCGTGAGTTGGTAGCAGTCAGGGGAAGAAGGCGGCGCTAGGTGAGGCGGAGGCGGGCTGTGAGGATGGAGCTGCCGCCCAGAGTGAAGAGCCCAGAGCTCGTGGGGCCCGGAGCCCCAGCCCCTCGCGCGGGTGAGGAGCAGCGGAAGGGTCGTGCGACCGAGTGTGACTCGCGGTGCGTGTGTGTGCGCGCGCGCGCCCGGCTCTGTGGTGCGTGTCACCGACCCGCTCTCCTGCTGCTTTCCCCGCTCTCCCTTCGCAGCCCCGAGTGTCGAGTGTCGGCGCAGAGCACTGTGCTCACGTTTCCCCAAGAGGACAGTCAGTATTGAGCCCTCGGCTGAAGGCTCCCAGCAGGAAGGCACGGACCTGGGCTTGGGGTGGGACTTTTAGAGCCAGCAGTGTCCCTGAGAGGGACGCCCTGGAGGAAATGGTGGGAGAGACCCTACTTGCAGGCGCTGTGGGTGCAGCTACGTTTGTCCGAACCACAGCATCCCCATACCTCTGATCCTAAGACTCTTGGCTCCAGCCTCCTGCTCACGTTGGTAGTGTGTGTGACATCGGGGCAGATGTGGCCCTGGAGGGGATTTTCTCCGTCTGTATAGCTCTTAAAAGGGCCTGGTGCCTCGTGATTTCCTTCTTCCCCAGTCCCGCTATTCTACAAAAGAAGGATCTTGAGAAGGAGGAAAAAATGTTGCACATCTGAAAGTGTAGATTCGTTGAGTTTTTCATCTTTGTTCTAAATGCATGTTTGTTTTTAGTGCATGGAAACGTTTGCTTTTCTTTTCCTGAAATGTCCAATGGCCTATCCTAGGCCTGCCTTCCCAGTGAATGCTGGGCCAGGCAGAGATCCCTCCCCTCCTTTTTCAAATCATTGCTCTGCACTCACTATTGGTAATAGTAAGAAATGCACATTTTGCAGTCTAGTGAAAGTTTTGCTTTATTGAGATTAATGTGTTGGTTGAATCATGAGTCTCCAAAACCTCACTTTAAAAGTAAGGCAATATTCATGGCAGTTTGACTGATGTGACGAATGACATAGTTGTTTGCTTTTTAAGGCTTTTGGGAGCAAGAATGTAATTGGAAGTCTGAGATCTGTGTCATCAGAGGCACAGGTTTTTCCAAGGAATCAATGGACTGAGACTTATGCTTATAGAGTTTGTTATAAGAAAAAAAAGTGCATATAAGTAAAGTAATATTCATAATGATGAACAATAAAACTCCCAATTTTAATTTTTTAATGAATTCCTTTACTAAAATTTGGGATTCAAAGATATTTTACAAGGATTATATCCAATGTTGAGTAACGTTGGTTACTCAGTGGAGGAGGGAGAATCATATACTGTTCTTTCTTCTTTGACCAGATTTTATTATTCAGTCTGCAGATACCCTTCACCTGATTTATGTTCATTCAAAGAAGAATCTTAGCAGTAAAAAGATCTCCTATTGAAGAAGAATGTTCAAGAACTGGTAAGCTCTATTTATAATGGTCAAATTGATTTCTGCTCCCACATATATCAAACCAGTTTGCTTCTTCTACGATTTAAAAAAATTTTTAATTGGATATAGATTTATTTTATACTTAAGATTATGGAATTAGTGTTCACTTTTTGCAATTATTCAGTTACATCACATGGGGAAATTACAAAGAAGAAAATTAAAACAGCCTCAATATCACTATTAATATTTTGGGGACGTATATTTTAGCAAAATTTTTCTTTGTACTTGTATATATATATGTGATGTGTGTATGTATTTCTGCAGAATAGAAGTTGTACTAAGTGAATATTCAGAGGGCACAGAGACTCTCCAACTCCTATTTAGTAAAAGTTATTCTAGCTGACCACAAGTTTCTTATACCTCCATGAATATAGGAAGAAGACCAAAGTGCCAATGAACCTTTCTAGTTTGATACCTTCCAGGTGTTTATACCTATTAGGGTTTTATAAAGCAATTAAGGGTAATTGTTATGGCACAATTTATCGAATAAGCCTTTCAGGATTACACTTTTTTTTAGATTTTTAAGGTTGCTTTTACAACCTTATATCTGTAGCTATAGCCTGAGTAGGATGAGGAGGGTGTTCATGCAGGGGGTGGCTTGGTACAGGGTGATAGTCCAAGTGGTGGCAGTCCAAGGGTGGAATGCACCAGCAGGGGGTATCAGCCTGAGTAGGATAAGGAGGGTGTCCACATAGGATGACTGAGGTGTCGGCTCAGTCAGATTTCAAAGCCCAAGCAGAGTGAAGAGGACATCTGGATATTAATACTGCCCAGCTTTGGGTGTTGGGCCTCAAATAGGAGGAGTGTTGGGGACATAAATGTGGGTCAGGTAGGAGGTAGTGAGTGTCACAGTCCAGGTAAGATGAGGAAAGCATCCACAAGGAGCAGGGGGCAGGAGCAGTGATGGGAGTTTGTTATGCCCGAGGGCAGGGAGGGGGTGGGAACAGACTGTCAAGTCAGTCAACACACCTAGGGTAGTGGGAGCCAAGCTTCTCCCTGTGTCACAGCAGGGAGTCACACATATCAAAGGGGAGAAAATGAGATGGGGCTTTGTGATGTTAGGTTAACTAGATGTAATAGCCTGAACTTACAATTTTCTATGTGGTAGATATAAAAAATATAAGCAGATGCTGGGCCGCTCAGGTTGCCAGATTCACGTCTGGGGATTGCACCACCCTGCTGCTCCTTGTAGGGCTCTGGGTTCCAGCATCTACCTGGCCTGCTCTGTTGCTGCTTCAGCAAGAGAAATCACTGTGCTGAGCAACTCCTATCCTATCACATTACACAGTATGTGCACCTTAAGATCCTGATGAAAAGGCAAAATGTCCAAGTTATGTTTAGGGATAATTTGTGAGGGCAAGTCCAAGAAACAATGTGGTTATCAGGATGTTAAGCACCATTTTCTTCTGGATAAGTTATCCTGATGCTTCATTATCCTCCTCTTGCCCTGCGGCTGACATAGAAGACAGTGTTTGAGTCATTGGAGTTGGCTGTGCTGTGACCCATGCCATCAGGACATGGCTTCTGGTCTGTGCCTACTGGGGTGACGTTTGTCATGTTGCTGCATTGGTGCTCTGTGACAAGCAAGAGAGTCATTTTTAACAACTTAGCGGTACACCCTCTGTCATCTCATCTGAGATGTTTACTGACTCTGTGTAGTACCCAAAGGAAATGTTACCAGAGAATCCATGAATCCTGCGGAAGTGATGGAAATGATTGACAGGTATCCAAACTGTTGCTGCATCAAGCCAGAGTGCACTTACCATTGCTGTAACTGGAGGATGTATTCAGAAAATGTACCATCGCTGCCTGTAGGTGAACAGTTGTGCAGGAGTTTCTTTTTCAAGATGGTGTTTACACATCCTGAATTTATAAGTTGTTATATTTATAAGTTGTTATATATTTATATTGCGAGTACTTTTAAGTATGTTATTTTTTTCAAAGATTTCATTTATTTATTCATGAGAGACACACAGAGAGAGGCAGAGACACAGACAGAGGAAGAAGCAGGTTACAATTTCACACTGCCCAAGTGTGTTACTTTTTACAATTAAAGACAAACAGGGGGGCAGCCTGGGTGGCTCAGCAGTTTAGCACTGCCTTCAGCCCAGGGCATGATCCTGGAGATCTGGGATCAAGTCCCACGTCGGGGTCTCTGCATGGAGCCTGCTTCTCCCTCTGCCTGTGTCTCTGCCTCTCTCTCTCTCTCTCTATCTCTATCTCTCTGTGTGTGTGTCTCATGAATAAATAAATAAATAAATAAAATCTTTAAAAAAATAAAAATAAAAAAATAAAAACAAACAGGGGACACCTGGGTGGCTCAGCAGTTGAGTGTCTACCTTCAGCCCAGAGCATGATCCTGGAGACCCAGGATCGAGTCCCACATCGGGCTCCCTGCGTGGAGCCTGCTTCTCTCTCTGCCTGTGTCTCTGCCTCTCTCTGTGTGTCTCTCATGAATAAACAAATAAAATCTTATAAAAAAAATAAAAAATAAACAAAAGTGTTTACGTATATTTAACTTTTTTCTTCCCCTTGTTTGTCTTTGCAAAGTGGAACACAGTAAAGAGATGTGTGCAGGAAAACACTTGTTTTAAAAACTCCACTTCTGGGATCCCTGGGTGGCGTAGCAGTTTGGCGCCTGCCTTTGGCCCAGGGCGCGGTCCTGGAGACCCGGGATCGAGTCCCACGTCCGGCTCCCGGTGCATGGAGCCTGCTTCTCCCTCTGCCTATGTCTCTGCGCCTCTCTCTCTCTCTCTCTCTCTCTCTCACTATCATAAATAAATAAAAATTAAAAAAAATAAAATAGTTTAAAAACTCCACTTCTGGGGTGCTTGGGTGGTTCAGTCAGGCATCCAACTCTTAATTTTGTCTCATGTCATGATCTCAGCGTCATGAGATCGAGCCACATATCAGGCTCCACATCAAGCAAGGAACCTGCTTGAGATTCTCTTTTCCTCTCCTGCTGCTGCTACCCCCCCCCGCCCCCTCTCTAAAAAAAGAAAAAACTCCACTTCTAAGATATAGAGTATCCAGGCTGGTACCAGCCTTTTTCCCTCTTAACACAGTAGCATGTAACAGAATGGAAAAAGCAACCCCTGGCATCCAGAAACAGTCTGACATTTCCAGGTAAGCCTCAGTGATATTGAAAGCTGGCCTGGCACTCACAGCTAGGCCACGTTATTCTCTCGTTGAATGTAAACAATCTCATAGAACACCCACATCAAGATCAGTCTGAGACTATAATGAGAGATGAAAAAGACCACTTCATAACTTTGTCTAAGCACAGACAAAAACAAGGTCACTGGGCAGCCCACAGAATACACCAAATATCCCTCTCCCCGCTAATATGAGTGGCTACTACTTCTTACCAGTTACAGCTTCTGCCTCGCTCTGGTCTGCCTTCACTCTAACTGACATTTATTACAGTGTCTAATCATGATAAACTTCCCTCTTGCATCTGGACAGCATCCGATTCAGGGCACAGCCCTGCTTCCTGAAACCCTCCCCCGAAATCACCCACCACAAGCCCAAATACTATAATCCTTTCTGACACCCTCTTCCTGAAGCACTACACAGTTCATCATGTTGTATGTTCTTCCTTGTACTGAGTTCTAAACCTAGCTTGTTCAACTACGGGGTGTGTTTCTTGGGGACTCTAGCTGGATGGCGTTGGCAATAAACATGCAGTTAATTGTGGCAGCTTTTGCTGTTGGTGGTCTGGACCACGCTCTCTTTTCTTTTTCCTTTTTTTTTTTTTTAAGATTTTATTTATTTATTTATTCATGAGAGACACACAGAGAAAGAGAGAGGCAGAGACACAGGCAGAGGGAGAAACAGGCTCCACGCAGGGAGCCCGATGGGGGACTCTATCCCAGGCCTCCAGGATCACGGCCTGGCCTGAAGGCAGGCGCTAAACCGCTGGGCCTCCCAGGGATCCCCTCATGCTCACTTTCACAATGCAGAAAGTAATTTTGAAACAGAGCACTGCTCAAGAGGCCTTGGACCCCTGGAGGAATTATATTAACCAAGGTCAGTTCTGACAAGTAGTTTGGGGTCATTTCACCTAAATGAAATGGAGAAAGGCCCTGTAAAGCATCATGTTGAAGAAACATCCACTTTCCACTTTCCAGGATCTCTCTACATCTTCTCAGATACTGCAGGAAATTGAAGTTGGATGAGTGGTCAGGGCATATGTAAAAACGGCTTGAGAACATTGGAGAACCATATATATATATATATTTTAATATATTTATATATATAACCATTAATTAATTAATTAATTAATTAATTAATTAATTAATTAATTTTAAGAGAGGGTGGAAGTGGAGAAGAACAGAGGGAGAGAAAGAATCTTAAGCAGGCTCCACACCTGGCAGTCCAGCACCAAGCCCAACATAGGGTTCGATTTCACGTGACCAAGATCACGACCTGAGCCAAAAATCAAGAGTCAGATGCTTAGTCAACTGAGCCACCCAGGTGCCTTTCAGCTTGTCTGCATTCCCAGCCCTCCCCTTTAGGACGTGGCACCTGTGATCTCTGAAGTACCAGTCTGTTCTGAGCTCCCCTTTTAGTTCAGGCTCAGCCGGGTTGATGTGAACAGTTTTCTGCCTCTCCCCAAAACTGTGTTGCTACTATATCCTCTCTTCCTGTGTCCTTGTGAGTGCTCTGTCATTACTATTATTTTAGTGAGGTTCCAGGGAGGAGGAAAGGTTAACCTCTCCACTCAACCAGCCATGCTCATCTGCAGAGGAATCACCATCTCCTCAAGGACCTGTGACTGTACTTACACTTTTCTTATATTTCTTCCTGTCTCACCTCCAAATATATAGTGACATTTGTTGTGTTTGTTCAAGAAATATTAAGTGAATATCTACCATGTGTAGGCACTGGGACTTGAACTGTGATGAAGCTGCAATCCCTTGAGTTCGGAAGAGTGACCGGCAAGCATGTGAGAATGTCTAAGGTGATATGAGAAGTGCCAAGCAGAGCACGCACATGGTTCCAGTGGAGCACAGAAGGGTTCCTTCCCAACTTGGGGCATCAGGGAAGTCTCCCCAGAGGGAAAGGTGTCTCAGCAGAGACCTCAAGAGAGAATGGCATTGGGTCCAACCAAACACATTTGTGCCCTAACAAAACCATATGGAGAAGAGCCAGAGACGTTCACAAAACCCAGCCATCCAACCTACTTCTTGCAACCCTCATCCCTACTCTTGGGGACTCTGCGGGGCTATCTCCTTGTCCTTGAACTTCTCTCTGCATGTGAAGAAGGCAGGAATCACCAAAGACTCAAATGGTGGGGAGATGTGCGGGGGCTTTATCTTGTGGTCAAGGGCTGCGACTTGAGGTTCAATTTCCGTTCTTTTCCCCAAATTTCTAAAGTCATTTGATATGAATTCTTTGCTTCGCTCTCAAACCATAACCCAGGCCCTGCACGTCACCCACTCATCTGTCAGGAGAGCAGGAGGGGACAGACCATCCTATTCACAGCCCAGTTTCCTCCAAAGGAGTTAAACTTTTAGGAAGAAATTAAACAGATTCAATCTTTTATCTTTATTGAGTAAACCAATCTTGGGTAAAGAAAAAACAACACTAGGTTTTGGGACAGCGGTTGGGGAGGTGAGAGAAGTCCCCTTCCCTCCTCTCCCCTCACACCACAAGGTCTGGGTCACTTATAAAACTCATGCTCCTGCTCGTCCTTCTTGATGACAGTCTTGTATGCTTTTTCAAAGTCCTTTGCCAGAACAATGTAGCGGTTCTCACGGACGGCCAGCATTCCACTCTGTTGAGGGATGAGAATGAAAATCTACTCCCAAGCCCTAGTGATGGTGGAGGAAGAGACCTGGCCCCAAGCCCCAGGGAGGCAATGTGGGACATGAGGGGTGCAGCAGAGTGGTCTCAAAGGGGAAGAGTCTTCATGCACCCCCTGCCTGGATCCAGAGAAAAACCCTCCCTCACTCACCTCCTGACAGATGGAGTTGATATCAGCTCCTGAAATCTTATCTGGCCGGGCCACATCTGCAGCAGGTGATTAAGGAAATAAATGCCTAGAACCAGAAGTCATCCTTGAGCTCTATTTATCACCACTCCCATCCCTGGAGTCTCCCGACCTTACAAGTTGGGTCCCAATGAAGGCAGAGATGGAGATGAAAATCCAATCCACATTCCCAACCAGGACCCTTCCCTCACTTCCAGAGCAGGATACAATCTTCCAAGTCAACCTCCTCCGAGAGGTTCATCTTGCTGGTGATGGTGGAGAAAATTAACCTCTTCTGGCGGCGGTCAGGGAGTGGAAATTCAATTTTACGATCAAGACGTCCGGGCCGCAGCAGGGCAGGATCCAATGTGTCTGCTCTGTTTGTGGCCATGATCACCTGGCATTGGGGACATGCCAGCTCAGACCTCTGTCCCCACTACATCCTCCTTCCTGTCACGATATGTGTTCCCTCTCATGCCAGCCTCCATCTTTCCCTGACTCCCACACCACACTTCCCCTTGCCATCCTGATCCCCGAACCTTGACATTAACGTTCTGGTCAAATCCATCCATTTGATTCAGTAGCTCCAGCAGGATTCTCTGAACCTCCCTGTCGGCTGCAGAGTGCAACGTGGTCAGTCCAAGGCATTGCATACAAGCCTGCCCAAGACCCCAGGCCCTGCTTAGGTATCACTCACCTCCTGTCTGGGCATCAAATCTCTTGGTGGCAATGGCATCGATCTCATCTATGAAGATGATAGCAGGTGCATTCTCCTTGGCCAGGCGGAACACGTCCCGGACCATGCGAGGGCCCTCGCCCAGGTACTTCTGGACAAACTCTGAGCCCACGACCCGGATAAATGCAGCTGATGGCAGGACGACAAGGGTTAGATGAGGAAGGGCCTCCCATAAGGCCCATATTGCTTTAATGAAACTGAGAATTCCCTGGAGACATCTTTGAACACCCACTCCAAGAAGCCAGGTCATTCTCTCGTGCCCTGGGGATGGGTCTCATATCCTGCTGGGAGGACCAGTCATCTGCCTGTACTCCACAACTCAGCAGCCCAAATCATGAATCCTACAACAAATGTGTCAGTTCTTGGCCCAACATTTAAAAATCAGGACATTATTTTTAAAAATGCGTCTGTACTTCAATATTCCCATATAGAGGACAGCAAGAGACGTTCATGGAATCCAACATAGACAAAACAAAAACCCTGGATTTCCAGAGTGTTGGAAAAAAATCAGTAAGAGAAAAAAAGATAGGCTGTCTATACACTGAGGCATCATACTAACTACCTCACCAAGAGCCGAGTTCCACTTGGAATTCCACTCAGGATGGAAAAGGATCCACTTCTGAACATCATGCAAGATCAGGGACCACAGGCACATATTCAGACATGATCAACAAGTGACAATGTGGCTGAAGAAAGGCTTGTTCTGGGCCTCTCCTTTTGAACTTACTTCTTTAAGTCTAACCTATTCTTTAACAACTAGATGTGGCCTTGTGTTGCACGGAGCAACCCTCCAGAACCCTCCTTTTAGCTACCACTGAGAAGGGAGACACACAGTCCATTATGCAGACCTTATGTCCTAACTAGGAGCTGTGCAAGTTGCAGTCCTGCCCTGACAAGCGCTAACATCCAGAACCAACACCTGGCTCAAGGTGTCCTTCCTCTCTGATACGTACATCACCTAGGGGCTTGTTCAACCCCAAACCTCAGGGTATCTAAACACATCTCAGTGTTGGCTTTGGCCACACGTTCCCTGGGCTGTTCTCCCGGTGTTCAAACCATTACCCATGAAATCCTAGTCCCTGAAACCTCCCATCTGACTCTGGCTCCCGTCTGCCTCCCCATTCTGCTGCTGTGGTGCTCTGTCCCCCCAACCCCTTCCCCGTCCTCCTAGTCTCTCCACTTCCTGGTCATTGAATTAGTTATGTCCCATACTCAATCCATCTACCCCCACACCAATCTGTTTTCCCCTAATCTGGCCCAAGTGAGAAAATGGAATTTGCTCCTGACTCCTCCCACTTGCCAACACCTTATAGTTAGCAAATATATCCTGTCACTTCTGCCTCAAGTCTACCCTTCTCTCCCCAACCCACCCTGCCAAAGCCTCTGCCCAAGGCTATAACTGTCAGTCCTCCGGCTCAGTGCAAAGTCTTCTAATTGGCTGTCAGATTTCTCTTGCCTCCAAGTTCACTTCTAGCTGCCAAAATAATCTTTCAAAAAGCTAATCTGAAGGATGCCTGGGTGGCTCAGTCGGTTAAGTGTCTGCCTTCAGCTCAGGGCATGATCCTAGGGTCCTGGGATAGAGCCCCACATTGGGCTCCCTGCTCAGCGGGGACTCTGTTTCTCCTTCTCCCCCTGCTCATGCTCTCTCAAAAAAGTAAAAATAAAATAAAATTTAAAAATCTCAAAAGGCTAATTCCATCATACTACTTCTCTAATGTGATGGCCACTGGCCACATGTGGCTTCTGAGGAACTGAAATGTGACTGGTCCAAAATGAGATAGGCTGTCACTGTGAAATACCAGACTTCCAGAAACTTAGTAAAATTAAGTGTAAAATCTTTTTTTTTAAGACTTTATTCATTTGTTCATGAGAGAGAGAGAGACAGACAGACAGACAGACAGACACAGGCAGAGGGAGAAGCAGGCTTCATGCAAGGAGCCTGCTGTGGGACTCAATCCTGGGACCCCAGGACCACGCCCTGCGCCAAAGGCAGGCACCAAACCACTGAGCCACCCAGGGATCCCCTAGTGTAGAATATCTCAATAAATGTCCATCGATAAACATCCAGATAAGTAAAACATGATATATACATACAATGGAATATTATTTGGCCTGAAAATGGGATTATATTTTGACACCTGCTCCAACATGGATGAGCCCTGAAGACAACTGCCTAAGTGAAAAAGCCAGTCAAATGTAGGATCATCTACTTATCTGAGATACTTCTATATGATAGCCAAATTTATAGCCACTGCAAGCAGAATAGAGGTTATCGGGGGCTTGGGGGCGAGGGAGTGTGGAGAAACATGGAGTTAGTGTTTAATGGGATGATGAACAAGTTCTGGAAATGGAAAGTGGTGGAGGTTGCACAGGATTGTGAATGTTCTGAATGCCACTGAATTGTTCTTAAAAATTGGTTAAAACGATAAATTTTGTTACATATATTTTACTAGAGTAAAACAATGGGAAAAAATCTCAAATTTTCTATTTGCTACATGTTAATAGTATTTTGAGTAATTTTCTGTTACATGTTAATATATTTTGAATATACTTGCTAAATACATTGTTCGTCTACTTATTCTAACTTATTTTTTTAATGCGTACTTAAACTTCTTGAATTATATATGTGGCTTGCATTGTATTTCTAGTGAGCCCTGCCTTTCCAAAACCACCCTGCTCTCAGGGCAGTGTGCAAAATCCCTGAGATTAGTGCTAAAACTATATTCACAGCCTTTCTGAGTTCTTCAACCTCACCTCCTGAACCTGCCAAGCACAGCCCTCCTTCAGCCAGCCCCCCAACATGTGCTAAGAAAGTACCACAGTGCAGTTACTGGGCAGGCAGTGGAAAGGTAGCAAAGGACAAATGTGGAAGGTCCCTACCCTCATGTAATATCGTCATGGTCTACTCATGATTTGCTAAATCAAAAGTTCTTTTCTTTTTCTACCCCGGGCCTTGGCACATCCTGTGCCCCATGTCCTGGATATCCCCTCCAAACTGTGTGCCTGACAGATTGCTTACACCTCACTTCTTCTGGGAAGACCTACCGGAGAGGTGGAGGCAGAATGGACCAGCACGCCCTCTTGTGAGGGTGATCCCCCAATCCTTCCTGCTTCCCCCGGGGCATTTGCTACTTTGCAGTACTACTACAAACTCAAGGTGAGTGCTACTCCCACTCAACCTTACCTCTGTGAGCCCCCTTGCTCATTCACTTCAGCTACAGGAGCCTCCTTGTTATTCCTGGACCATGGGGTGCATTCCCACCTCACCAGACAGTCCGTGAGTCCAATATACTTTCTCCTCCAGACATCCATGTGACTCGGTACCTCAAGTCTTTATGTGAATGTCACCTCTTAAAAGCCTTCCCTGACCACCCCTCATTCTACCATAAAAAGTGGCAGCCTCCACTATTCTCTATCCCCTTGCCCTGCTTCATCTCGTCACGCATTTAGAACCACGTGATACATAATCTATTACCTGTTCAAGGACTTCCCCAACTAAGACATCACTTCCACAAAGAAAGGAGAGACTTTGTTCTGTTCACTGTTGTGTCTCCAGAACATGGTGTGGCACACATTAGGTACTCAGTATTAACTCAATGACTGAATTCTAAGTGTTTTTTTTTTTTTTTTTTCTCCAGCCACACCGGGAAATTCTCCAACACAGGGGACATGTCTGAGCAGCTCAGGGCCTGGCAGAGCAGAAGTCCATGAACCGCTAAGCAAATGAATGCTCATGGCCATGACTAACATTTATTGTCCACTCTACGTGCCAGGTATGGTTTTAGAAGCTTTATATTGATTTAATCCTCCGAATAACCCAGATAAGGAGGGAACAGGAGTCACAGAGAGACTAACTTATTGAGTGGTTACATAAACTAACTTCTGTAAGCAGTTGTAGGGGAACCTGATTTCAAACCCAGTCAGCCCAGCCCAGAAAACACTGTCTGACCACTGCCTTCTACTGCTCCCTGCCTCACACATGCTGAGGTTTAAGATGTGCTGAGCCCGATCCTCAGGCTTTACAAACAGTAATATGGTGACTTTCAGATGTTTTTGTCTGGAATCTACAGTAAGAAATACGTGTGTAAACAACCACAAGCATATGTGCATGCAACAAGTTTCACAAAGCAATAAGAGCTCTTACTACGTGGGATGGACACTGATGTTTTGTTTCATTGCTTTAAATGCTGATTGCAACCCATGAATTTGAACTCACACTAATGGGTGACAACCCACTGTGAAGCAAGTCTTGTTAGAGAATGGAGACAGGAGGAAGTGAAGCCACCTCCCTAGGATGGCACCGCCAGTAAGAGGCACACCAGGGCTTTGACACCATGGCTCCTGTTCTAATCATCTCACCTCACTACTTCCGGGGCAAGATCAGAAAGTAGGGAGCAAGGTTATGAGAGCCCAGAAGGTCAGAGCCCCAGGGAGGAACCAAGGGCTCACCTGTCGTGTGATGAGCCACAGCCTTTGCTAACATGGTCTTCCCGCAGCCAGGCGGGCCGTACATTAGGACGCCTCGGGGAGGGTCGATGCCGATCTGAAATGCAGAGGTGAAGGATAAGGCAGGGAGTCCTTTCACCAACTTGAAACACGAGGGGTGGGCATGGAGGGGGCAGCGGCTTTCCTTTCCGTACCACTTTCAGCTCCTCACCTGCTTATAGAGCTCAAAGTGTGTAAGTGGAAGCTCCACGGCCTCCCGCACCTCCTGCTTCTGGATGTCCATGCCCCCAATGTCTGCATACATCACGTCTGGCTTCTGGTCTGGTGGTAGAGCAGAGCTGGGGCTCCCAGTCTGGCCTGCAGGGTCCCCTTAGGCCTCCCCCTGGCCCTGGGCTCCCCTCTCACCTGAGGTGAGCATCATGATACTGCTGTCAGCCTCAGGAGGCAGCACATCCACCAGGGCGTTGCTGTGCTTGTGGAGGGCCACAGACGCGTTCGGCTTGAGCAGCTCCCGGTCAATGGTGCTCAGGATGCGCACATAGTAGTTGGAGCCTTTGGGAGACAGGCAGGGAGCAGGGAAAGTGAGAAGTACCAGAACCTCCAAACTGTCTCTGTCCCCAAACCTCACAGTCATACACTCTAGGCTACCAGTCCCTTTTACTCAGACCCCGAACAGCCCTCAGCCTCTAGTCTTGCCTCCTCTGGTCCATCCCCCACATTCAAGACGACAGCTCCCTTGGCTATCTCTACCCCGGACTGTCTCTCAAGCTCTAGCCCCAGGTGAACAGCAGCCTCCTGGAATGCCTCCCCTGCCCCGGCATGTCGCCAGGGTCTCTTCTCACTCACTGTCCCAGTGTGGTCTCAGTATCTTTTCTCAAATCGTGCTGCTTCTCCTGGGGCCCTGTCTCAGGGAGCCCCATGGTCCCTAGTCACCAGCCAGAGTCCCAAGCCTCATGTTGGACCTTTCTCCCCTCCACGCCACAGCCCCTCAGTCACTATGCTCTTCCAGCTAGCCTCCTAAATGTCTCCAACCAATCTCCTCTCCTCCCCACAGACCCAGCCTGATACACCCTTCCGCTCCCATCGAGGTCTCTGCACCAGAGTCCTCCCTGCTCGCCCAGCCTCCAGGCTCCCTGCCCCCATCCACCTTCTACTCTCTCCTGACCTTCACACCTGGCTGTCTGGCATCCACCCGGACCCCTACCTGTGAAGTCCTAGACTGCCCTTACTGTCTCCCTCCAAACCTACTCTTCTCCCCATGTCAGCATCTCAGGGATAGTCCCACTGTCCCCCTAAGTCCTACAGGTCAAAGACACAAGCCTCATCCTGAGTATCTCCCTCCCTTCACCACCTCACCTCTAGCCTATCAGTCCAATTCCAGGCCCAGTCAGAGGCCAGAAACAGGAAATGACAGATAATGCACAGAGACAACAACCATCCTGAGCACAGGGCCTGAACCCATGTTAACAACAACAGCTACCATATACGGAGTCCTACCAGAGCCTAGTCTCTTCACACTTTACTCAGTTCAAACTGCAGGTCCCAACCCAGTAACTGCCATGAAATCAACTTAGAGGGTCATATCCAGAACACTGTTTAAAACAAAAACAGACTAGAACAGAATGGAAAACATCAGAATCTGTCACACGTAATAAGGCTAACTATCATTTGACGAAACTGTCAATATATATTTAGCGTATGCGTGGATATGTATGCAGTTGACCTTTGAACAACGCAGGGTTTAGTGGTGCCAACACCCCATGCAACTAAAAACCCACACATAACTTGACTCCCCAAAAACTCAACTACTAATAGCCCACTGGTGACCAGAAGCCTTACCAATACCATAAACAGTCAATTAACATGTGTTTTGTATGTTTTACATATTATATACTGTATTCTTACAATCAAGCAAGCTAGGAAAAGAAAATGTCATTGAGCAAATCATAAGGAAGAGAAAATACATTTAAGTATTGTACTGTATTCATCCAAAAAAAATCTGTATATAAGAAGACCCACACAGTTCAAACCTGTGTTGCTTTAAACTTAACTGTACATGTAGGTTCATACATATACACAAGCACATACAAAATACATACACATGTGTAGAGAGAGTATGTGAAACATACGTCTACTTTTGTTATTAGAGTTAGAAAAACACCATTACACTGCCCTCCCTTGTTTGCTCTTCTAAGACCCCAACACACTTCCCAGTCCATGACAGGAAACAGTTAACAGTCGTTGAATGAACAGATGAGTGAATGAGGTGGTCCCTACCCAGGCACCCACACACCTGTGGTGGAGCCCACAATGGCTGTATTCTGATCCACAGCCTCCAAAAACTGCCCGATGACCAGTGGGATGCTCTGGATTCGCTTCACCTCCTCCTGAGCATGGAGGAATTCCTTCTTCAGGTTCTTCTGCTCATCCTTGATGTACTCCTCCTGCACCTCCAGGAATTCCAGCTCTTGCTGCAGCTTCTGTGAGCGGAGAGGCAAAAGGTAGAGGGTTGGCTTTGGCCCTGCTGAGCCAGGTGGTTGTAGAAGGCGGCGGGCGGGGGGGTATGGCATGCTGGGCCCTGTACAGGATCCGGGTTGGGGCTGACTCTACCTTGTAGCGGCTGTACAGGTCCTCCAGGTCCTCAGGCTCAGGCCCCAGGAAGGAAAGGCCAGTCTGGGGCCGTGACACAGACAGTGCTGGGATCTCATCCTAGAACATGGGAGAAAACTCTGGTTGGAAGAAGAGCATCCCCTCATGATAGAATCTAAAGCATCCAACCCACTCCACCATGAACCTCTCAGCCCCCAACAGGCTCCTGACATCATTCAGCCCCTCTAAATAGATCCTGCAAGCCTCTCAGCCCCCTAAATAGGCTCCTGATGCCACCCAGGCCCTAAGAGGGTCAACCAGCCTCCCAAACAGATGTTTTACTATCATATGCCACTTGTAACATAACCCCAGTGTCACCTGACTCCCAACTAAGATCTAAGGTCACATCAACTCCTTATTGGACCCCAATGCCCCCCCCCCAACAAGTTCCTAATATCACACGGCTGTCTTATTATAGGCTGTTAAAGTCAACCTCAAACATTCTCACATTACCCAGTTTTCCCCAAAAGATCCCTCATGTCACACAACCCAAACTCACATTAGGTCTTTATGTTATCCGGTTCCCTATGTAGGCCCCAAACACCACTCGGCTAGATCAGATACTGCGGAGCCTCCCAACACCAGCCAAGCCCCGATCATCAGCCAGCTCCCTGGCCCAACCTGAGACATCATTTGGCCCAAGCCCCATCTATCACTCACACCCCGACCCATCCGCGGCCCCGCCGGGCCCCGGTGTCATTAAGCACTCCTAGCTAGCCCTCGAAATCCTTCCGTGCCAAAGAACCTGTAACGTCACTCATTCCTGCAGCGGCGCGTTCTGAGCCTTTCTGCCCTCCTAACATCCTTCAGCCCCCGAGCCAGGCCTCGGGGCGGCACAGAGCTCCCCACCGAGGCCTCCAGAACCAGCCGGACCGGGCCGGAATTCCCGCAGTCCCTCAGCACCCCACTCCGGTCGGCCTCGCCCTCTCCCCACGAGCCTGGCCCCACCGGACCTGAGCTTTCTCCACCAAGATGCCTATCTCCTCCATAGTGACCAAGCCGGCCTCTGTGGCCCAGCCAGATCTAGTCACCGCTTCCGGCGACGCTACCGGAAGGCCAGGGCCTCCGCGGATTCTGGGAAACGTAGTTCAAGGCTTCGCTAGAGCGGGCCGAATGGGCCGCAAAGGGTGGCGGGAAGGGAAGTCTTTGTCCTGGGCTCCGCCCCCAAGGCCTGCACGCGGGCTCTCCGTACTGGGCTTGGGGCGGTGCGCGTGCGCAGTAGTGCGTAGTGCCCCCCTCTCGAGCGGTGTCCGCGCGCGGTTTTTCTCGCCAGTAAGCGGCGCTGCCTCGTTGCTTTTTCGGTTAAGGAATTCGCAAATCCGTCCGGGAGAGCCTGGTGGCCCAGCGCTGGTGGCTCTCCTTTAGTGCCGGGGCCGGAGATACTTTGGGCGGGGCTCCCCGGGGGGGGGGGTTCCTTTAGGAGATCTACACGTGGGATGCGCCGAGGATTGTCTCCCGCGTGGAGGCGGGAAGCGCCTGGCTCCACCCTGGGGGTTGATGTGCTGTGGGCCAGGAGGAGGGGTGGAGAAAG